TTTTTTAATATTTGTTAGTTTAAATCTAAAAAATTATACGTATTTAATTAAATTTATTATTTTAAGTTAATTAAATGATGATTCCCCCACTAGGCTTATTTTTTTTGTTGGTGTTGTTGTTGGCATCCTGGCAACAAAAAAAAAAAAAGAAAAAATGGAAGTATGGCATCTCTGCAACAAAAAAAAAAAAGAAAGAAGAAAGTATGGGGTCTGAGTAAGCAGGGAGGCAAAGTGGGCAAAGTGGTCCCATTCTTGCACATGGCAGCACGTGGAAAAAAAAAAAGAATAAATGGTTTTAACTGCTGACCGTTTAGGACTGAACGGTCAACAATGATGGCAACATGAACGGTGTTAGGGGAGGGATGACGACGAACAAAAAAACGAAGTAGAGGGGCGCCATTTTGGCTCTTTGGTAGAATAGAGGGACAACAACAAACATGTCCTTAGTAGAGGGACAAGAACGAATAAAATATTAAAGTAGAGAGACGACAATTGGCTTTAAACCTATTCATTTATTTAGTGACACGTAGAAGTTGTATAAAAAGATAATACAAAAATGTTGTCCCTGTATCACCACCCAAGGGTAAAATTGTAAAATGATATTTTCAGAATTACTTAAATTTATTAATCGTAATTTTTAATCTATTAAACTACTAATTAATAAAGGTTATAACACTAATTTACTTCTAATAAATTAATTAAGATTAACAAATTAATTTTAAAACAAATGGTCAAACTAAACCTGAGAAGATGAAGCCTCTAGTGAGACTTCCAAGCAAAAAAAACGGAAATCTGCTACGCACCCAATCCTCTATAAATTCATAAAAAAAAGTAAAAAATAAAAATAAAGAACTCGTCAGTGCTGCAATTTATCAACTCTTCCATCAAGAACCCAGATCTTTGCCTTCTCCCTCTGATCCACATACCCAGATCTTAATCCAACACCATTCTTCATTGGTTTCAATGCCAAAAAACCCAAAACTTCATGCTTCAAATGAAAATGTGGAGAACAAATCGTTGAACAAATCAAACCGGATTGAACAAAATATATATGGAATCAGCCAAATCTGAAACTAGAGAAATAATTTATTTTATATCTTTGAAGACAGAAAACCAAAAATAAAATAATTTTCACATTGTAATTTAGTGTAGTTTGAATTATAAAATTAGAAAGGAAAATGATTATGAGATAATTTTTATTGTACAATTGTTTCATACGACTTTACTTATCATTCAATGATAATTTTTTTTTTACTTTACAAATACTTATGATATAATATATATTCATTCATTTAATGACATATGAAACTTATAAATAAAAGTTGGATCTTATTATTATTTTTTTTGATCAGCAAAAAGAAATTTATTAAATGGAGTACAAGGGGTACTCCTGCCCACTTACAAGATTGAAAGAGAAATTAAACCAACAAAACTCCCTAGTTAACACGCCATGAAGTAAAGGATATAAAAGACACCCACTAAGAAGATAACAAATACGTCTTCTTGTAGATCCTTAGATTCTTGCCATGTTGAACTATGGTCCTCTTGCACTCCGACGGGCGTAAAATCCAATCTGAATAGGAAAAACTGCAGCCTTGTGCCTTGCTTTTGAGCAAAAAAAAAGAAAAGATTTAGACTGAATAGAGTCCAATAGTTGGTCTTCAAACCTTTCCCCTACCCCAAACACCTTCATATTTCTCCAAAACCACACATACCAAGTAGTAACCAAAAAAACAAGAGTCCCTACCTCCGTCCAGCACCCCCCGTTGATTCCAGCCACCACAACATCTGCCAATCCGAAAACATCTTTTGGCAAAGGACTCTGGACCCCCCACCAACCCAAAACCTTCATCCAAACCAACCAAACTGCTTTACACTCGCAAAAAATATGCTGGAGATGCTCGACACCCTCATGACAAAGCCCACAACAAACATTCCCCCCTGGTACAACAACCCCTCTCCGACACAAGTTATCCTTTGTAGCTAACCTGTTCAAAAGTAATCTCCACCCAAAAATACTCAATTTGGAAGGAACATACTTACCCCAAAGAACCCTAGACCATTTCTCATCCAAAATAGAACATTTCGGTGATA